CGCGCAGTAGGGCCCCCGAGGCGCCGGCCGGAGCTCGAGGGGGCCCTGCGAAGGCCAGCCCCAACCCGTTCGAGGTGAAAGTCAACCGGCAGAAGTTCCAGGTCCTGGGCCGCAGGACGCGCCACGACGTGGGGCTGCCCGGGGCGTCCCGCGCGCGCGCCCTCCGGAAGGTAAGCGGCGCGGTCCTGCCTTTCCTTCCCCCGGGACGGTGCGGACTGCCGGGCTGTGGGCCCCGCACGGGCCCGCCGCGTCCTCCTCTGCGCCTCCGTCTCCTCGTCTGGGCCACGGAGGCCGCGATCGTTCCGGGAGACTGCTGGTGCGCGGTCTGAACGCCTCTGCTTTTCTGCGGGCTGGAGCGACCTTCTGGAAGGCTCCTGCCCGCCAGGAGACCCGCACGCATTCCGGTGGCTCCTCCAGCCGCCCCAGGCGGGGCCGGTCACCGGGGAGCTGCTGCGTCCTGCACGGTGGGTTTCCGCCTCGTGGAGACCTCGGGCTCTGCGGGGCGGGGCTCCGCGTGATGCGCCCGAGGCGCTGCCCGTGGGTCTCCCGGAGCACGACTTGCGCCTGGGAGGTCACGGACGCGCTGCCTCTGTGGACAGCCCTCGGCGGCCCCTCCCGTAGCGTTCTGATTCTCCTTCCAGCTCAGTCCAGCGAATGCAGCGTCCCGGACCGGCTCACGGGCGGTTGTTTTCTTGTCTTTGCTTTGTTTTAAAAAATATTTGTTGTTAAGCCGGGCGCGGTGGCTCACGCCTGTAATCCCAGCACTTTGGGAGGAGGCGGCGAGAGGATTACCTGAGCTCAGGGGTTCCTAGACCAGCCTGAGCAACCTGACGAGACCTCGTCTCTACGATAAATCAAAAAATCGGCCGAGCATGGTGCCACATGTCTGTGTTTCCAGCTACTTGGAAGGCTGAGGCGGAAGGATCACCTGAGCCCAGGAGGTCGAGGCTGCGGTGGCCATGAGTGTGCCACCGCTCTCCAGCCTGGGCGACAGAGTGAGACGCCAATTTAAAAAAAAAAAATTTTTTTTATTGTTACTGAGAAAGGTACATTAATAGGTTGGAAAAAATTAAGGCACAGAAAAAATAAGTAAATGTCCGAAGGTCACACAGCTGGCAAGGCCTGGGGCTTGCCTTTGGGTTTCCTTGTCTGCAGAACCGGGATGCTCCGTCCTCGCTACCGGGAGAGAAAAGCAGATGTGACTTGGACTTGCCTTCAAAGTCGTGATCTATGTTCTGTCAAGCATCACACAGTCCATGTGGTCTTTCAGTTAAGTCAAATGTCATGTTTGCTGCAAGGGGATGAGGGTGTGTGCAGTAGGCAGGATAGATTTACGGTTGACTTAGATAAGAGTCCCCCATTATCCCCATTATAGGAGTGGGGGAGTAGGCTCGTGTGGTCTCTGAAAGAGAGGCACATTTGTTTTCACCACTTAAGCCTCCATCCATTGTCTTATTCAGAAGTGGAGATAATAATGTGCATCCTTCCTCTCATGGTGGTTTATGAGAATTCAGTAAGAATACACTTAGCATATACTAAGTCTCCTCTGAATAGTAGCTGTTATTCTTAAACTTGACTTCTTATTCAAAGACTCCTTTACATCTGGCTCTTGTCCTTGTTTTACCTCTCCCTGCAACTCATTGTGTCCAAAAAGGCCTGTCTTACCTCCCAAAGTCACTCAATGGCCAGCTCAGGTCATCACTTGTTCCCAAACCCAGACAGAACAGGTTGCTCAAACCTCAGTAACTAGCAGGTCCACCTCCCTGCTCTGTACTGAAGGCCTGGCGGGGATATTGCTCTTTCTCTTTGAATTCCCAGCGCTTGGCCCGTTGTAGGAACTCAAATATTTGATTCCAAAAGTAGAACTTGAGTGCCTTGGGAGATCAGTCAGGAGAAAGTACAATGATTAGGAAAGTCAGAAAATTCTTCATGGAGGGAGTCACATTTGGGCTCTGCAGGGTGGGTGGACTGTTCACAGGCTGGATGCGGGTAGGGAATATACATATATGTCCTGGTATAGTGAAGAGTGTGGAGCAGGTTGTCCATTTGACTCAAAGCTTGATACCTGTGTAGGGGCACCAAGGCTAGTGCAGGAGGTCTGAGTCTTTTCTTGTGTGCTGGTCCCTTGGAAGTAAAGGGATTATTCCTATTGTCTCTCCACTGGTCCAGTGTAGTTCTTTGGGGCACTCGGTTATGGCAGTAAGAGGGCAGGTGCCAGGACATCATTTTATAGCTGTGCCTCAGTTTCCACATTTCTAAAACAATTTATAAAATAACGACATATTGATTCCTTACAGTGGGTCAGGCATCGTGCCAAGTAGTGTACATTTAATCACAGTCAGCCTTATGAGGAAGAAGTACTGTTATTATCCCCCATTTTATGCCTGAGGAAACTGAGGCAAGGAGCAGTTCTCTAACTTTCCTCAGGTGAGAAGTAGCCAGGCTGAAATCTAAACTGAGACTTAAGTGCTTGACACCTACACACAGGCAGTTACCATGAGCCTGGCTCTGTACCTAAGCCATCTTCTCTTATTCATTCATGTAATCTTAACAACTGCCTGAGGTCAGTGCTGTGTTCTCTCCTTTTATATGACTGCTGGGGAACGGTGAGGTCAAGCCCCTTCTGAAGTCCTGGCTAGGAGTTGGTGAAGCTGATGGGATTGTGTCTTCATATTTTACTTGCTCCTGTCCTGCCGAAGGTCACCTAATGGTCCCAGGTACACACATGTGAGTTCTATATCTTACACAGAGGCAGGGCTTGCCTAGCCTGGTAGATTTTTAAAGCAAACTTTGATTCATTATAAAAGAATTACAGGTTTAGTAATATATCACACTTGTATGATCTATTAGTAATCCTTCTTATCCATAGGGTATACATTCCAAGACTCCCAGCAGATTCCTGAAGCCACAGATAGTATTGAGCCCGGTATATGCTGTTTCTTCCTATACATACATACCTATGGTAAAGTTTAATTTATTTATGTGTGTGTGTTTTGAGTTGGAGTCCCACACTGTTGCCCAGACGGAGTACAGTGGCATGATCCTAGCTACTGCAGCATCAACCTACTGGGCTCAGGTGATCCTTCCTCCTCAGCCTCCTGAGTAGCTGGGATTACGGGCATGCACCACCATGCCCAGCTAATTTTTAAAATTTATTATAGAGACAAGGTCTTGACATATTGCCCAGGTTGGTCTTGTACTGGACTCAGGCAATCCTTCTCACCTCAGTCTCGAAAAGTGATGGGATTACAGGCGTGAGCCACTACGCCCTGCTGTTTTATTTTTTTCTTTAAATATTGGGTGCTAGGGCAGGCACGGTGGCTCACACCTATAACCAGCACTTTGGGAGGCCAGGTGAGAGGATTGCCTGAGCCCACGGGTTTGAGACCATCCCAGGCAACTTGGTGAGACCTCATCTCTACAATAAATCAGAAAAATTAACCTGGCATGGTGGTACATGCCTGTAGTTCCAGCTGCTTGGAAGACTAAGGCAGAAGGATTGTCTGAGCCCAGAAGGTCGAGGCTGCAGTAGCCATGAGCGTGCCACTGCACTCTAGCCTGGGTGACAGAGTGAGATTGACTCAAAATAAATAAATAAGCAAACAAGTAAATATCGGGTGATAGAGTTGTTTGTTTTGTAAGGGCAGGGTCTTGCTATATCGTCCAGGCTGAAGTGCAGTGGCTTACTGTAGCCTTCAGCCCCTAAGCTCAAGCAGTTCTCCCACTTCAGCCTCCCGAGCAGCTGGGACTACAGTCATGCATCACCACAAAGTTTAATTTATAAATTCGGTGCAGTAGAAAATTGATAACAATCAAATAATAAAATTGAACAATTAGAAAAATATACTGTAATAAAAATTATATGAATATGGTCTTTCCCTTTCAAAAATATCTTTTTGTACTGTACCCACCCTCCTTGTGATCTGTCACACTGATAATTGATACTGCTTAGTGACTTCTCAGGCAGGTGGTGTCTGGAGCATGTACACACACTGGATAAAGTGATGATTCACATCCCTAGCAAGACAGAAAGGGAGAGCTCAAGATTTTGTCAAACTACGCAGAACAGCAGGCAATTTAAAACTTATAAATGGCTTGTTTCTGGGGGAATTTTTCATTTAATATTTAATATTTTCAGACCATAGTTGACTGGGGAAAGTGAAACTTTGGACAAGGGAAGATTTTTGTATGAGCAAATGAAAGAAAGTAAAAAATCCATTAAGTATTTTGGAAGAGGTTATGTGTAACTCCACTGTTTGTTGGGTCATGCTACACATACTGTTTTCCTATTAAAACTTTTTTCTAGGCCGGGCGCAGTGACTTATGCCTATAATCCCAGCACTTTGGGAGGCTGAGGTAAAAGGATTGCCTGAGCCCACAGGTTCGAGACCAGCGCAGGCAACTTGGCGAGGGTGAGACCTCGTCTCTACAATAAATAAGTAAATAAATTAGCTGGGTGTGGTGGCGCGTGCCTGTGATTCCATCTACTCAGAAGGCTGAGGCTGAAGGATCTCCTGAGCCCAGCAGGTCAGGGCTGCAGTGGCCATGAGTGTGCCACTACACTCCAGCCTGGGTGACAGAGTGAGACTCCAACTCAAAAAAGTGAAATCAAATAAAATTTTTTTTCTGCCATATCATTTTGGGGGGAGGGGACTCAGGGTCTCACTCTGTTGCAGGCTGGAGTGCAATGGCATGGCTGCAGCTTACCACACCATGGACCCCCTGGGCTCAGGCAATGCTGGTCCTAAGTTGGAGAGCTGCTTTAATGCGTTTACCACACATTTCCTAAAAATCTGGCCTTATCGTAACAGCTGGTTTATTATTTCATTCTGTTCAACCCAAATCATTAACCCAACTGTTGAGGACCGAGAGTGGTTAAGAAGAACCATTTGAAAGTAAGTTTACCTATATCAGTGTCAGACCTACTTAGAAACTGCAGGCACTGAGAGCCCAGGTTATCCTACAGTACCCCGTTTCCTTTTTTTCCTAAACTTTAACAGATGCTGTGACATTATGCTAAATTTACATATTTATGACCTAAGAGATGTTCTTTACTAATATTTACCCATAGAATCATTATTTCAGATAATGAGAACTAATGTTGTTGTTGGGTTTTTTTGAGTTTGAGTCTCTTTTTCACCCAGGCTGGGTTCAGGCGATCCTTCCACTTCAGCCTTCCAAGTAGCTGGATCTACAGGCATGCGCCACCACGCCTGGCTAATTTTTATGATTGATGTAGAGACGAGGTCTTGCCATGTTGCCTAGGCTGATCTCGAGCCCCTGGGCTCAGGCAGTCCTCTCGCCTCAGTCTCCCAAAGTGCTGGGATTAAAGGCATGAGCCACCGCGCCCGGCTGAGAACTAATGTTTTTATAGGCACAGCCATTTTTGGCTGATGCCTTCCGTCCCCACCTGTCTCCTTCCTGCTGGAGCGTGTCACTCCCTCCCTTTACAGGGACAGGCCTCTGTCCATACAGGGTTTTCATCAAACAATATAGACGAATACATGTAATGTCGTTACAGTCATCTTGAATCTGTAAAAAATAAATGGATTCCAGATCTCATGGTCATTGTAATTCTGGACAGAATCTATCTGCCATCCTGGTATTGTGCTCTGTGTGTTGCACATGTAGTCTTCCGACTGCTTACTAACCAGACTTTTGTTATTTAAATAGTGAATTATCATTTTAACTTTTATTCTGTATGGTTATCATTTTAATTTTTATTCTGCATGAAGGTTCAGAGAGCTTAATCGGATACAGTACTACTGTGTGTGACAAATGAAACTTTTATTACAGCACCCAGTAAAATCTTGTTCTGCCTCCTTCCTTTTGCGTCCCTTATTAATGAGCTGGACTGCTCATAACAAAAGAAATAAGCTGAACAGAGTCATAGCGTTGGAACCCTCGGGTCCATCTGGGAGCCACTACTGCCTTTAGAAAGCATCAGGAAATGCTACCCAGGGTGTTCTTAACAAAGTTTATTTGGCACCTCCACTAAATTCCATAGTAGGGAGTTACATGGGATCAATAATAACTCAGGTTGTCTGCAGAGAAATTGGCTCTGAAACATTCTTGAAGAAAATGATGAAAATTGCCTTGGAGTATTTGTTGAACTAATTGATGACTTCTTTCTCTTTAGGCAACAGAGAGGTTTTTGATGCATTTTAAGTGAAATACCACATTCATGTTTTTAAGTGAAATAAGAACAATGTTTTCTTCGTGTCCGCTTCTCCTGTTCCATATTTTTTCCCCCCTCAGTACCTTGAAGGCAGTTGCTTGACTTTTTTAAGCTTCCAGTGTCACTTTTTTTTTTTGTAAAGACTGACTCTTGCTATGTTGCCCAGGTTAATCTTGAACTCCTGGCCTTCAGAGATCCTCCTGCCTCAGCCTCCCAAAGTGCTGGAATTACAGGCATAAGCCACCGTGTCTGGACTCCCTTCCACAGTATTAATATTTTGCTTGGGCCTGGCTTGGTGGCTCAGCCTGTAATTCCAGCGCTTTAGGAGGCCGAGATGAGTGGATTGCCTGAGCCCGCGGGTTCGAGACCCGCCTGGGCAACTTGGGGAGACCTCATCTCAACAATAAATCAAAAAAATTAGCTGGGTGTGGTAGCGCGCGCCTGTAGTTCCAGCTACTTGGAAGGCTGAGGCGGAAGGATCACTGGAGCCCAGCAGGTCAAGGCTGTGGTGGCTGGGAGCGGCCACTGCACTCCAGTCTGGGCGATAGAGTGAGACTCCAACTCAAAAATAATATATTTTGCTTGACCTCCAAATGAAATATGCTCTAAATTAAAAGAAGCAACGAGTGCTTGCTTTGTCCTTGCTCTAGCATCTTCCTGGCTTGCTTCTTAACCTTTTCCATTCTCCTTTCCTCTCCTTGCTCCTGGTTTTTTTTACCTTAATATGAGTTTCATCGCTTTTAGTTCTGGGGACATGACCTGTAACTGAAGCAAAATCTGGTCTTTTCCCTCGTGAAACAACTTGAAACCAGAATGGTAATGAACAAGACATCGATATTCTTCCCCTCCCCACCGTATGTGTGCATTCTTTGAAAGTGACTTTTCAAAAATTAGAGGATCTCTGAAGAATGCAAGAAATGTTCGAGTCTGGAATTAGATCACAGGTTTTAGACATCTGCCAGCTATGTAGTTTGTGGTGAGTTTGTAAAATCACTGAATTGGATCATTCCAAGGGCCTTGCATTGATTGTGTCATGATTTTTTTTTGGTTTACCAATTCCTTTTGGCACTGGTTGCTGTATGAACTCCAGTGAAGTGGCAGTCCCTTAACAAATAGGATTTCTGAAATGGGGAAAAGATTCTAATGTGGCCAACCTAGGTTGCAACGGCTACACTCACTCCTTGCCACTGCTGTAGGGAATTCAACCTCAAGGGCATCTAGCTTTGAATAATAATACTGAGTGTGTTCATTGTTGCTACTAGGAAAGTACCACATTATTTGATACTTGTTGTTGATTATTGAATTCTGTACTTAAGCTATTGCTCCTCTTGATGTTCTAAAGTATGACCTCTATGACCCCACCTGATAAGCTTGTGTGTGTATGGTCGTGCGTCACACACGAACCCACAACTGTACTTTTCCTAGAATACCTTTGATAGGAAGTAACCGCCCTCCTCTGTGATGGAAGGAGTCTAAACCTATTCCATGTTTCCAAGTGAGTCCAGCCTAAACCACACACCTTCTTAAACCATAAGGCAGCTGCTGTATCTGGAAGAATAGGTCAAGCCTTGATCTTAGCTGGTATGCTTTTTGCCCTTCCTTTATTCCAGCACTGACAAACAGACGCTAAGGAGGGAAATGAGGTGGTTACCTGATGTTCACTGAGAGTGAGTTTGTCTTCTCTTCTCAAAATGTTGTCCTTGGTAAGGAAAGCCTGCAGGGATGAAAACAGATTATGTGTGGCCTTTGACACCACACCACTGCATAGCTCTGAACTTTAAAATACACACTGTTCTGATCTCCTCTTTAGTGCAAATCACAAGAATTTTTTGCGAGATTGTTTTATTATCTGTTTTCCAGCGCTCGCAGACTTTACTGAAGGAATACAAAGAAAGGGATAAGTCCAATGTATTTCGAGATAAGCGCTTTGGAGAATATAATAGCAACATGAGCCCCGAGGAGAAGATGATGAAGAGATTTGCTCTAGAACAACAGGTATGGAAAAAAACTGTAAGAGGACCTTTGCTGTACATTTTATTTACACAAGCGTAACACTCAAAGAGAAGGCTGCCTCTACCCATTGTTCATTTTCACATCCGTGAGTACTCAACATTAGGTTTAGGGGATAGCTCTCAAATCCTGTATCTTGTTGGGCTAGGCCAAAGGGAAAACAACCTTCTGCAAATATCAGTAGAATGGATAAATGTCTTAGCCCTAGTACATGGCACCAACGTGTGTTGGAGTTCTCAGCTGAACTGCTCCCTCAGCTCTTTTAAGTGGAGAGCAAGTGGCCTGAGCAACATTGCTGGTGACGAGACCCCGAGATTATTTTGTTGTTGTCTGGGCTGGAGTGCAGTGGCATGTTCACAGCCACCACAGCCTCAAGCTGCTGGGCTCAGGTGATCCTTCCACCTCAGCTTTCCAAGTACTAGAACCACAGGTACCCACCACCACACCTGGCTAATTTTTTGGTTTATTGTAGAGACAAGGTCTCGCCAAGTTGCCCAGGCTGGTCTCGAACCCCTGGACTCAGGCAATCCTCTCACCTCTACCTTCCAAAGTGCTGGGGTTACAGGTGTGAGCCACCATGCCTGGCTGTGAGTTCTGTTTATATTTGAATCAACTCTCACATGACCAAGATTACTCTTTAAGGCTGCTTAGGCTCCATTATCATATTGTACATTTAATGGGAAAATAATTGTTTTTCCTGTGAAATGAATGTAGTAATTTTAGGAAACTGGCTTTTTTCTTTCTGTCAGCGACATCATGAGAAAAAAAGCATCTACAATCTAAATGAAGATGAAGAATTGACTCATTATGGCCAGTCTTTGGCAGACATTGAGAAGCATAATGACATTGTGGACAGCGACAGTGATACTGAGGAACGAGGAGCGCTGTCTGGTGAGGCTGGGAAGCCCCTCACAGGCCTGGGGGCTTGGAGCCCAAAACAGTCTGTTCACTACTGGACTTTCTTCTGCCCTCTTAGAGACTGGAAAAAGTTGTTGCATGAAAGTTTCACTGATCACTAGCCTGTCAACAGATTTCACAAGTGACAGCGTTTATTTTATTTTTTTTTATACTTTTAGAACTTTAAAGGGGTGTATAGATAGATGCATTTTTGGGCTGAGAAAGCAGGTTAATATCCATTATCTTATTTGAACCTCACAGTAGCGCGTTTCATCCATGAGCCCAGAGAAATAAGGTGATTTTCCCAACATGAGAGTCAGCAATATGGATAAAATCCATTTCACTGATCTCTCAGATGACCCTTCTGCATTAAACTGCACTGCATTGCTACTTGTTTTATAAATTCCAACCTAATATTTGTACCAGTCGTATTTATGCAGTTCTTTTAATCACTATGCACTGTGGAACCAATTATGGTGGGTTTTGAAGGAAATAATATTGAGCTTCATATGTGTAATTACATGAAACAGATTACATTTTGGCCTTAAATAACATTAACATACAATCAAACTGAGTTTAGGACTCAGTTAAAGTCCGACCATCTTGAGCCCCGTTTATAAGGTTGCAGTCATGTCATAAATTTGCATTTCTTACAAGTTAGACCAGGTCCCATTTTCTAGCATCTTCAGAACAAAGCAGCACAAAACTAAAACTGATTCTAAGACATTAAGGCCCAGGACAGCCCTTTCTTTTTTATTTGTTTTTTGTTTGTTTGTTTTGAGTCAGAGTCTCACTCTGTCACCTAGGCTGGAGTACAATGGCACACTTACGACCACCACAACCTTGACCTGCTGGACTCAGGTGATCCTTCCACCTCAGCCTTCCAAGTGGCTGGAACTCCAGGCATGCGCTACCACTTTCAGCTAATTTTTTCATTTATTGTAGAGATGAAGTCTCACCAAGTTGCCCAGGCTGGTCTCGAACCTCTGGGCATAGGCAGCCCTTTCACCTCGCCTCCCAAAGTGCTGGGATTACAAGCTTGAGCCACTGTGCCTGGCTAGCCTTTTCTTTTTTAAAGACAGGGTCTCACTCTGTCTCCTCGCCTGGAGCACAGTGGCACAATCGTAGCTCACTTCAGCCTCCTGAGTAGGTAGGACTGCAGGTATTGTGCTGGGTGTGGTGTTTGCCACCATGCCCAGCTAATATTACCCTTTGACAGTTGGATAATTCAGGGAGCAAAAGGCTTAGGAATTAAGGCAGCATGTGATCCAGAACCTACCATTCTGTGCGACAGCATAAGGAGCAGACCCATGGCTCTGTGGGGCTTCGTGGGCATAAGGGAAATCACTGGTAGTTTCAGCCTTCAGTCCTTTCTCTTTGCACTTTCCATTGTTCAAGACTTTTCGTGTAACCTTAACTAGTTGACTGTGACTGAAGGTAACAGCCTTGGTTCGCGTTTGCGAGGTGGTGGCGTCCTCATTGCAGGAGGCCTGTGATTCTCAGGACCGGAGCAGACATATGGCTCTGTTTCTTCCACATAACAATTCCTGGGAATTCAGCTATTCGTTCGAGATTTCCTATCCTTATGTTTTTATTATGTGCTCACTAAAACCCAGGTAATTTATAGAAGAAAAGTCTCTTACATGTGAAAATAAGTGTATTTACTGTACTTTTAAAAGTGAGTCATGAGGAAATAAATTCTGTTTTGTTGAACAATGTAATACAGCGTATGTTCTTTTAGATTAGGAGAATTTTGTCTTAAAAAACAATCCTGTAAGGTAGGTGTCACCCCACTTTACAGCTGCAGAAGTGGTTGTTGGGCCTCAGAGCCTGAACTGAGGCTACTGTGTACTACTGTACACTGTACCGTTTCACACCATAAGTATAGGCGTTTAACATACTGTAAAATATGCTGTGTTTGAGCTTCAAAATAAAAAAGTATCTAAAAAACTTTCTAATTAAATCCTAATATAAACTCACTAAGGGGGAATTTTTTTCAGATATCCTTTTCTGAATCTTTTATATAATTAATATAACCTTATTAGTTGGAGTTTTGTAAACTTTTCTTTTCAGGAAATATTGTAAATAACCCTGGATCATTTAGAATACTAAATGAATAGTGTTTTCTGATATGCTAAATTTTCCAGGAAGCATTTGATTCATCCACCAAATGCTGGTTTATGTGCCAGGCACCCTTCTCAGTTCTGGGGAAGTAGCAGTGAGCAAAACACAAAAAGTCTTGCCCTCCTGCAGCTCCCGATTTATGGGGAGACCCAGACAGTAAACAAAATGTGGCACTAAATTATGCTATGTAATTGCAGGTGAACACGCTGTGGAGTAAAAATAAAGCCAGGCGAGAGCTAGGATGTATGTCGGGTAGTCTTGGTTAGCTTCACTGGGAAGGCAATGCTTGAACCCAAAGATGTGAAGGGTTTAAAGGGCCTGGGGTGGGACAACTGGAAAACTGGTGGCAGGGGGTGAGGTGGAGGGTGGTAACAAGCAGGTGGGCCAGGGTTTTCTGGGCCACAGGAAAGGTTTTGTCTTTTACTTGAGAAAGGGAACCATCAGAGGTATTGGGATTATGGAAATACATGGTCTGATAGGACAAGGCCAACAGGATTTCCTACTGAATTGGATGAGTGTGGGAAAGAGATTAGAATCACCACGACTCCAAGGGTTTGACCTGAGTGCCTGGAAAGATGGAATTATCATTTGTTTAGATGAAGACTGTGGGATACATAGAAAAGCCTGTTAGATGTCCAAGGGGCAGTGTTGGAAGGGCACCTGGCATTTGGAGTTCAGGGAGAATGCAGGCCAGAGATAGAACTTGGAAATTTTCAGCATGGAGACAGAGGTCAGGGGAATAGAGTAAATAGACAAGAGACAACCAGGGGCTGCTAGTGAGGTGCTGGGGTTGGTGTTGGCTAGAAGCCAAGTAGAGGAAACTTCTCAAGGAGGAAGCGATGAATGTGTCGAACTCTGCTGATGGTAAGAGGAGGACCAAGAACTGACCTGCAGGCCAGGCAAGACTCTGTTTCAGCGGAGAGGCAGGGAGAGCTGGAGAAGAGTGAAGAGAAAGAAGAGGAAGGGGCTCGAAGACAGAGGAGAGGCGGGAACCCGAGCAAGTGCCCAGTTAGTGTTAGGGCTCCTCTTGCTGGAGAGATGATCTGAATGTTTTGTTTCTGTTACTGGTATGGAACTTCGGGGAAATCATTTCCCATTCAAGCCTCTGTGCTTACATTCAAAAAATAGAATTTTCCATTCTAAATTTGATGATTCCCACTGTGTCTTATGTCTCCTGCCCTGGCAAGTTGGGTAGGCGGAAGATGGGTGACGCTAGTCAGTGAGTCCTGCTCCTGCCCTTAACTTGGGGCTTTTGGTCTCCAGACTCTGCCCAGGAAGGTAGGAGGGATTGGGTGGGCCCCATTGCTTCACTGATCCTAGGCCACTTCCTACCAAGACTCTGAATCTAGCTTGTTCTCCTAGGTTTGCCAATCTTTCATGAGAATGAACACAATTTAAAAATAATGTGCTTGGTGTTTTCAGTCACTTGGATTATGGCCAGTTGGTAATTTAATGGGTCTAGGTTTTCTTGGAGTGGCTCGTCCTGGATATTTCTTAAGTACTAATATGCCTGTGGTCTCAGGCCAGCTGTTGTATGTTTGAGAATTTTTTCTTGAATGTGGAATTCTAAGACTACTCTTGGGGAAATGTTGGCAGAGTGCTACAAAGACTGCTTCCTGAGCCAGGGCCTGGACTTCATGGTGGTGTTCTCTGCTTCTTGTTTCCAGCTGAGCTGACTGCTGCCCACTTTGGAGGAGGCGCTGGGCTCCTGCATAGTAAGACCTCTCAACAGGAAGGCGAGGAGGGGCAGAAGCCAAAGTCACGGAAAGAACTGATTGAAGAGCTCATTGCAAAGTCAAAACAGGAGAAGGTTGGGTTAGTTAATATTTTTGATGCCGGATAGCGCCATGATAAGACACGCTTACCAAAATATGTTTGGACTTTCTTCCCCAGTACATTTTTAGGCTGTGTTTAATATTTTATATGAGTTTAATAAAACCATTCATTTTGAATAGTTGTTTTGTTTTAAGATGAGGTTTTGCTATGTTGCCTAGGCTTGGCTTGAACTCCGGGATTCAAGCAATCCTTCTGCCTCAGCCTCCCAAAGTGCTAGGATCATAGGCCTGAGCCATCATTCCTGGCCTTGAATATAAATGTTTTAAATCTCATCAAGTAATACCTTTGACAAGTTTTTATTGTGACTGATTTCAGTATTTGGCGTGTATTAGGATTTGCAGAACAGTACTTTTTAATTGTGGTGACCTCAGAGCATCTGAATGAACAGTTTATAGCAGGAAATTATTTCTGTCTGATGAGATTTTGTAGCTCTGCATTTAAGATACTGATTTTTTCTGTTGAAATATTTCGTGCTAAATGTGTCCTTGGCATTGACATTGGACTGCTGGGTTAAAGACCAGTGTGGTAAATGGTGTGTGGTGTCTGTTTTTTCCCCAGAGGGAAAGACAAGCTCAACGAGAAGATGCCCTTGAACTCACAGAGAAGCTAGACCAAGACTGGAAAGAAATCCAGATTCTCCTGTCACATAAAACTGCCAAGTCAGAGAACAAAGATAAAAAGGAGAAACCCAAGGTGGGTATCAAGGGATTGAAACCAACACTGAACTTAGGTCTGTTGACCTGACTTTTCTACAGAGAAAGGGCTGAAGCTGGGACATCTCTGACCTGCTTCCTGTTAGGACAGATTATCTATTGAGCATTTATGTCAAGTTACCTGATAATGTATAATGTTGGGATTAAAGTAAACTCAGAGTTACTTCAGTCTCTACTCCAGGTGAATTAAATTAAAGAAAGTGGTGTTTCTGGTTGTAAGAAGCACTTTGAGATACAGACCTCAGAACAGATGTTTGAACTTTCCTGTGACATATTTGCATATTGATATTTTATATACAGTTAGTTATTTTTCCCCTAAACAGTATTTGTTTCCTACTGCATTTTTAATCTAAATTGATAGAAAATGTTGCATTAAGTAGCTGTATTCTAGGAAAAAATCACCAGATTACATTGTCATGTGGCCATCTGTACTGTACATCCTTAAGTCACCCTTACTATTGTTGTTAGTTTGCCTAATTTCCCATGTTTAAGGTGTAATACCTACATAAGCAATGTTTATTTTTGTTAAAGCAGATATATTCAGAGAACTTTCCAGGTGTAAAAATTGTATGTGACCAAAATGTCCACTGATTTCTCAATCCTCAAGACTGATTAGAACACAAGAAAAGACTTAGATGTGATCTAGCTTCTTCCATAACAGTATCCAGCGATTACCAGGAAGCTAGATCTTTCTTCCTATTAAAAAATGTTATATATATATATATAAAATTTTAAAAATTATTCTTCCCACCTTAGCCCGATGCATATGACATGATGGTTCGTGAGCTTGGCTTCGAAATGAAAGCACAGCCCTCTAGCAGGATGAAAACGGAAGAGGAACTGGCAAGGGAGGAGCAGGAGCGGCTCAGGAGGCTGGAGGTACAGGTCTCCAGCAGTGCCCCGGGAGGCCTCCATTCCCATCCTTGAAGCAGGGCTTCCACCCTTCTTTCACAGCCCTTTCTACTTTCTTTTGAACGTTTTATCTTTTTTAGTCTGTTTAGAGTATATGTTTATCCAACTATAAGTATCTTTGTATTTCTGATTCTAAAAGCAAATACCTGTAATAAAATACAAATAACACCCAAGTACAACAGATAAAAAATGGACATTCTTTATATTTCCTCTGTCCCAAAAGGACTGCTGACAATATGAGTGCATTGTCTTCTAAACTTTTTTATTACATTTTTTAAAAATTTATAAACAAAAATGAAGTAGAAACATACTATTCTAGCTGATTGTTTTAACATAACCACATCATAGACCTTCCCATTTCCTGTTTGTTTTCTTTTTTTAATTTTTTGAGTCAGAATTTCACTGTGCATGGTAAGCTTAGGGCCACTGCAGCTTCAACCAACTGGCCTCTGGTGATACTTGTGCCTTAGGCTTCCGAGTAGCTGGAACTGCAGGCACATGCTACCATGCCCAGCTAATTTTTTTATTTATCGTAGAGACGAAGTCTCAACATGTTGCTCAGGCTGATCTTGAACCCCTGAGCTCAGGCAGTCCTCTTGCCTCCGCCTCCCAAAGTGCTGGGATTACAGGCGTGGGCCACTGCGCATGGCCACTTATTTATTTTTAATTTGGGTTTTTTTAAGAGATAGGGTGTCACTCAGATTGGAGTGTAGTGGCATGATCATAGCTCACTGCAGCCTCCAATTCCTGGACTCAAGCAATCCTACCTCACCCTCCCAAGTAGCTGGCATTGCAGGTGTGCACCACCATGCCTGACTAATTTTGTTTTTTGTAAAGACAGTCTCACTATGTTGCCCAGGCTGGTCTTGAACAAGCAAGCCTCAAAGTAACAGATTTTCCTTCCTTGTGAGTGGAGAGCATCTGTCACAAAGCTTAAGTGTTGGCTTTGCTAAATAAGGACGTCTTCCACATACTGCTTACCAAGTGTTTGTGTGTCTGATCGAAGACTGCAAGCAGAAAGCAGGCAGGAGACGTCTGCGTTAGAGCCGAGGGCCACGGACCAGGGCTGTAGGCCCACTTCTGTTGCCAGGGGGCAGGATGGCATGCCTCTTCCTTGTCACGTGTTTGAGGAATGCACTCTTTGACTTCTCCTCCCTTCCTGTTCAGGCTGAAAGACTTCGAAGAATGCTCGGAAAGGATGAGGATGAGAACATTAAGAAACCAAAACACATGTCAGCGGATGATCTGAATGATGGCTTTGTACTAGATAAAGATGACAGGCGTTTGCTCTCTTACAAAGTAAGATGTTGGCTATGTTTTTCTCTCTTTTTAAAAAATTTATTTATTTATTTATTTTTTTTTTTTGAGTTGGAGTCTCACTCTGTCGCCCAGACTGGAGTGCAGTGGCTGCTCCCGGCCACCGCAGCCTCGACCTGCTGGGCTCCGGGGATCCTTCCGCCTCAGCCTTCCAAGTAGCTGGAGCTACAGGCGTGCGCTACCACGCCCGGCTAATATTTTGATTTATTGTAGAGATGAGGTCTCACCAAGTTGCCCAGGCAGGTCTCGAACCCGCGGGCTCAGGCAATCCCCTCACCTCAGCCTCCCAAAGGTGCGGGATTACAGGCTGAGCCACCAGGCCTGGCTTCTTTTTTTAAAATTTAGATCTGGTATTCATTTAAGAGGCCATCACAGATGGTAAGTTTGTAGCCGGTTCCTCTAAAGTTCTTTTATCTAGGTGTTTATGGTATATCAGAGAAGTCTTTAACAATAGTGTTTTGTCCTTGTCTGTTTCTCTGTGTGCCTTTCTCACTCCCTGAAGCGGGAATAAAAATAAACTACATAGACTAGACTCCTTTTGCTGTTTGCTCAGTTGTTAACATCCACTAACTCTTGTCGATAACTTCATGATAATATCTGCATGACCTCAGCATAATATTGAGGAGGTAACTCAAGGTTTGAGTTCTAAATATTTTTGGTGACATAATTGCATTTCTGGGACTGATGCAGTTTTTAATTCACAAGCATAATGTGAATGTATCAGTCGGGGTTCAGAGATGAAAAACTGGCAAGCCAGGGGGTTCAGGCAGGAAAGTGTCCACGACAGGAAACTGGGTACTGACAAAAGCACTAGGTTACCTGGAGGAGCAGAAGCAGGGGTCTCCCCAGATGCAGCAACCAGATCAGTGGTGGGGTGCTGTAAACATGATACTGGGTACCTTCCAAATCCTGGCCCTATGCCAAACCTAAACTTTGCCCAGAGTCCTTTTATCAGAGCTTTCTGGGCGACTTTAACTCCTGTGGCAAAGGGGATGGCCTAGAATAGGGGTGGACAGGGAGGCACAGTACCAGTGGACAGATGGACTGCACGGACTTGTGTTCCTTGTAGACAGAAGCACTGATGTGTGTGCTCAGTGTCTTGGTGTGGTTCAGGATGTTCCAGCTGTTGTCTCCGCCCTGTGTTGTGACACCTGGTTTCCGTGCCTCTTCCTAGGATGGAAAGATGATTGTCCAGGAAGATGTCCAGGAAGAGCAAAGAAAGGAAGCCAGCGATGCTGAGAGCGAGGAGGAAGAGGGCGGAGGTTCGAGTGGGGAGGACCCAGAGGAGAGCGATGGTCCCGATGGCCACTCGGACCTGGAATCTAATGTGGAGAGTGAGGGAGAAAACGAGAAAACGAAGAAGGAGCAGCGCCGGACTCCTGAGAAAGGACAGACAAGTGATGAGCAGAAAGCTCGAAAAGCCGCCAGGACAGAGCTACCCTACACATTTGCAGGTTGACACGCAGCTGGGTTTTCTTAGGTTTTGAGATAGCCATCCTGACCTGACCATAGTGATGTGTGTGCGTCTCCCTCTCTGGGGTTGCATTTGTGGAGTGGGAACAGGATGCACTTATGAGTGTGTGAACATGTTCCTCTGTGTGACGTTTTTGCTTTGTGAACAAGTGCAGTCATCCTTTTTCTCGGTGTCTGCTGACCCAGGTCTTGGCTCCAGTGCTCACTGTGGTTCGTGACCGTGGTTTTAGGGGCCGGCACTCAGATCAGACAGATGCATCTTAGTGTGCTGTCAGCCTTTTGTGGGGCACTGGCAGGGAGGGCCTTGTAGAGATTGGTAATCATCTGCAGGAAGGTTTCCATTCAGACCTGGGCCTCTTGTTAGGCCACAACATCTTGGATAGAATATATTGTGTTATTTTGTCTGGTACATAGAGGAAAATTGTCTGGTTCCTACAAGCAATCCTGAATTGTCCTGTGACTATAGGTTATTTCCAGAGAGGATACGTTAGTAATGAGGCTGGCTTCTGCACATGGCCTCTGATGGGCAAGAGTCTTCTGAGGGGACATTGCTAACCTCATGGTGGCTCCTTCCAGCTAATCCTGAACCAGTCTGGGCATGAAGCCAAGCACCCTACCACTAGGACTCACTGGAGTTGTGGGTATTTAAACAAATTCCTAATCAAGAAAAGGTGGGAGGTCATTTCCTCATCAAGGCTGTTCTCAGGTGCATGGTTACTGCTGGACAGCCCAGTTCTAAAACCCCTGAGGATGTGCCAGAGCAAACACTGGGTGTCCTTAGGGTGATTGTGACAGAAAATAGATATTTATATAAAATATATGTTAGCTTGCCTCTTTTGTTAAAGTAAAAGAAGCAGTTGTGCTTACATTGTGTTTAGTTTTTACTTCTAGATTAGCAGAAATGTAATAATTGTCATTTTATTTTATTTTATTTTATTTTTAAAATTTATTTATTTGAGTTGGAGTCTCACTCCGTCGCCCAAACTGGAGTGCAGTGGCCGCTCCCGGCCACCGCAGCCTCAACCTGCTGGGCTCCGGCGATCCCTCCGCCTCAACCTTCCAAGTAGCTGGAACTACAGGCGTGCGCTACCACGCCCGGCTGATTTTTGTTTTATTGTAGAGATGAGGTCTCGCCAAGTTGCCCGGGCGGGTCTCGAACCCGCAGGCTCAGGCACTCCACTCACCTTAGCCTCCCAAAGCGCTGGGATTACAGGCTGAGCCACCGAACCCGGCTAATAATTGTCATTTTAAATGTTAAATGTGGAGTGTGTTCTGTGTTTTGATAGCTCCTGAATCCTATGAGGAACTGAGATCTTTATTATCAGGAAGATCAGTGGAAGAGCAGCTTTTGGTGGTGGAGAGAATTCAGAAATGCAACCATCCAGGTCTCGCAGTAGGAAACAAAGCAAAATTAGAGGTATGCCAGAATGTATATGTTTTGGGTATTAAAAGTGTTAGCAGAACCCCTAGTCTCTAGGAGTGTCGGAATTGCTTGAAGTTTGTAGTTACCAAGTTTGCCTCAGACCCTGGCCAGCAGGGCCAGCGTATCATCTGCTAGAAGCATTTGGTGTGGAGTGGGCAGAGGGCGACCCTTGGCATTGGCCTTCTCGAGGCTTTGCAGCGGGTCCAGGAGAGGTCACTGGGGCCTTCATTTCACAGGGGAGGACACTAAGGCAAGTGGCAAAGCCAGACTTCTGGGTAAATAGGTAGCTGTGAACATACCATTTTCTCTTTCAGTGCATCATGCATATTCACTGTGAACAGTGCACAGTGCTGGGTGTATACCTGCTTTTGTTTTCATAATTATGTGTTGTCTGTCATTCTATAGAAGCATATGCCTGACTCTTAGCTTCCTTTTTTTCCCTTGACACCTTCTAGTGTTCAGCAGCATCTACTTGTACTTTTGGAAGCCTACTCACTTCTGTAGCTGAGGTCCTTTGGCCTACCTCGTTGTCACCAGAGTGTAGGGTGCTCCATGGTGGGTTCTGGCTCTTGCTGCACTAGAAGTCCGAGACCTGTGCAGTGGCTCTTGTCCCTGAGTGTTGGTGGTCGAAAGAATGTCAGAGTGGCTTTGTTCTTAGTACTGAGCAGTGAGCTCCATTTCCCAATTCATATTCCTGCAGAAACTATTTGGCTTTCTTTTGGAATATGTTGGAGATCTGGCTACAGATGATCCACCAGACTTCAGAGTAATTGACAAGTTGGTTGTGTAAGTAAAATGTTATGTTATTTGGAATGTGGGACTGAGTTGAGCAATTTTCTCCTGTTTTGAGTTATAAAATGCATTGCAGAGTTATTAAGGTAGACAAAATAGTGATGTCAACATACCAGGTGGGTGGGTTACCCACAGAGCTTTTGAACCCACTGCAATGATTAATGACACTTCTTATTGTAACATGGGCTGCCCTGGTCACTGTAGAGATGGGACTGACTTTTTTTTTTTTTTGAGTTGGAATCTCACTGTCGCCCAGGCTGGAGTGCAGTGGCACACTCATGGCCACTGCATCCTCCACCAGTTGGGCTCAGGTGATCCACCTCAGCCTTCCAAATAGCTAGAAATATAGGTGTGCGCCACCACGCCCAGCTAATTTTTTTATTTATTGTAGAGATGGGGTCTTGCTTTGTTGCCCAAGCTGGTCTCAAACCCCTGAGCTCAGGCAATCCTTTTGCCTCTACCTCCCACAGTGCTGGGATTACAGGCATGAGCCACCGTGCCCAGCTGGGACTGACTTTTAACCACAGGCAGGTTAACTTTAAAACAATTGAACTCCTTCAGATTTGCGTATCATACAAGATGGCTAACTTTTTGTTTGTTTCATTCACCAGTGACGTTCCAAGTTCTAGATAGGTTGAGAAGAATTTGGAATATGTGGTAGACCCACCTCCATGGTGGGTTCTGGCCCTTGCTGCACTAGAAGTCCAGGACCTGTGCAGTGGCTCTTGTCCTGAGTGTTGGTGGCCGAAAGAGCGTCAGAGGGGCAGAGTTGGCAGCTGGGAGGTGTGTGTTCGCGCTGGGCCAGTGAGGGCCTGTGCCCAGAGGTGCCTCTCTGGGGCCGGCTTCCTGCCCTGTACTGTGCGAGGGGCCTTTCCTTGTCAGCTCTGTGTATACAGACAGACTCTGTCACAGAAACGCTTGTTGTGAGGAATAAATGAGTTAATATGGAAAACACCTTTGAGCTGTCGGCTGCGGCCAGCACACAGAATATGCTCCCAACAGTGTTGTTATTACAAGTAGAGCTATTTCTGCCACCACCTCCTTTTGACCTCATGTCTAAAATGTTATGACCAGATTTTTAGGAAATGGCAAAATGAATGTAGACTATTATAATGTATTATAAATACTATCAGGAAAATTGTCTGGGTCACCAGCGAGGCCAACCAGATTCAGTAAAAGGAAAAGTCGATTCATTCAGGGGCTTCCAGTTCTAACTTGCTTCGTCAGCAGGTAGCGTCAAAGAAAAATGGTTTGGGGGGTTTTTTCCTGTGTTTTTGTTATCTGGAGTCATTCTCTCTCGACTTATGTTTCTGCTTAACAGGCAGTTATATAATCTTTGCCAGATGTTTCCTGAATCTGCAAGTGACTCTATCAGATTTGTCCTCCGAGATGCCATGCATGAAATGGAAGAAATGGTTGAGACCAAAGGCCGGGCGACGTTGCCAGGGTTGGATGTGGTAAGCAGTGTGGTTTCAGTCCAGCCTCTGCCACAGAATTCAGTTCTGCTCGGCATCACAGGAGGCCAATGATGGGTACAACGCACAAGCTTTGGGAGGTCAGCTGAGCCCTGGAGCTTCCACATTAACCTGGAGAGAGGACAGCAGCAAGGCCTGGAAGGAGGGCTCATCCATCAGTAATGAACTGATGTGTGTGGAGCAAAAAGAGATTCCAGTTGATGCCACACAAATGGTGTGTGTTAGGGCCCCAACCTGTGGGCTGGTTTTGCTTGGTGCTGGTTTCTGTGTTTCTTCAAAGGTCAAGAGACATTTGACCTATTGTGAGATTGGTTTTGTTTAAGTCGGGGTCTCACTCTGTTGCCCAGGCTGAAGTGCAGGGCACATAACAGCTCACCACAGACCTCCTGGGCTCAGGTGATCCTTCCGAGTAGCTGGGATTACAGGACCTGTGCTATCACACCCAGCTCCTTTTTCAATTTTCTGTAGAGATGAGGTCTCACTATGTTGCCTAGCCTGGTCTTGAACTCCTGGGCTCAAGCAATTTTTCTGCCTCAGCCGCCCAAAATTCTGGGATTACAGGTGTGAGCCACTGCACCCAACCCTGGTTTTGATGTGTTTCCAGTCTTGTACCTGCTTTACTACGTGATAGAAAATTGGACTTTATTGTTTTTTGAGAAATGCTGACTTTAGAGGTTGGAAATTTATCAGAACCAAGGCCTGTGGAACAGCCAGAATGGAAATCTGGAGCTGTGTGGTCCAGTTGTGCTCTAATGAGCTTGGGGAAATAAGCTCAGCTGATCAGTGTTTAGAGAGCCCTCTTGCCCTAGCCCCCTCGTCTCAGCTCCTACTGCTGAGCTCTCCCCCACCAGCTTCCTCCAGAGACTGCCCAGCTGCTGCTCCTCCTCCTCCCGCAGGACTTCGAACCAAGCCCTTCTCTCAACTGACCTTTTCTGACCCCGCTTACGCTGGCAGCCCCCTCAGCCCCAGCACACTCGGATCCCTCTTCCTTCCCTTCTTTGCTCCAAGTCACTGTCACTGTCCAATCCAAGCACCTTGTCAGTGTGACCTTCATCTCCCTACCGCAGAGAGTGGAATGGCTGTTCGGATCTGACGTCTTAGCACCTGGAACAATGCCTGGCTACCATAATGCATATTTATGGCGGGACTAGCAGGCATTTTTTTCTCCTTGATGCTGATTGGCACTGCTGTTTCCCCACACCCTTGCTAATTAAACCTTATCTCACTTGACCAATATGAATAAGTGATGGTATCTTGATGTAGCTTTATGTTTCTCCTACTATGAATCAAGCTAAGAGTGTTTCAGAGAAATTAATTTGTGTGTACAGGCTTGTCTTATCCTTTGCAAATTCTTTTATCAGGTTGTTGGTCTTTATTTTCTTAGTGACTTGGTAAGAGTTCTATATAATAGAAACGAACCTTTTGTTTAATGAATTGCAAGCTTTTCCCAGCTTGCCTGTTGACTTTGCTAGTAGCAGTTTTTACCACTGTATGTTGTTATAATAAAAGCAAACCAGTGAAATGTTGTGGGGTGGAAGGACTCATATTTGTCATTGGAGGCAAAAGAATTTTGCCATCCTGTTGGGGGAATGGCTGTTCTGGAGACTTCTCTTCCTCTCTGACAGTTCAGGTCCCCTGTCTACCGTTGCACCTAAATATTCCTTAGCTCTAGCTTTTGAAACCTGCTGTGGCTGGGAAAAGGATTCTTCTGACAGACTGCTGCTCAAGCCACCCTAGGGAGCCAAACAGTGCTAGAAACGGTCAAAAACAATTTGTTTTCTTTGTTTTTTGTGTGAAGTTCAACTCTGTTTTGCTACGGTAGTTTGTAAGGTATTTCTGGGTCAATATTTTTTAAAAGGTCTAGATAAAAAAGGAAAAGTGGTATGTAGCATATTTTGAGTGCTCAATGGTGGAAGGCCAAGTACACATGACACTACAAGGCATTAGTTTCGTCTACCCATTATACAGATGAGGAAATTGAGAACTCAGGTAACCTGCCCAGGGTCGCTCGTCCGGTGGTTGCTATGTCAGGATCTGATTGCCAGGTAGGCTCTTGGCTACTCTGCTGCGCCACAGACAGTTACTGACATCTTCTTTTTGTTTTGTTTTTTTGAGTTGGAGTCTCACTCTGTCACCCAGACTGGAGTGCAGTGGCATGCTCCCGGCCACCGCAGCCTCCACCTGCTGGGCTCCAGCGATCCTTCTCCCTCAGCCCTCCAAGTAGCCAGAACTACAGGCGCGTGCTAGCACGCCCGGCTCATTTTTGATTTATTGTAGAGATGAGGTCTCGCCAAGTTGTCCAAGGCGGGTCATGGACCCGCGGGCTCAGGCAGTCCACTCACCTCGGCCTCCCAAAGCACTGGGATTACAGGCTGAGCCACCGAGCCCGGCCTACTGACATCTTTTTTCTTCAGTAGAGAAAGTTACTACCTCTGAAATCATCATAGGTGATGATCCAGCTTCTAGTAGAGAAAGAGGTATTGTGCTTTATTTTCTAACCTAAGATACTAGAAGCTGCCACTTGCCAAGATGAAAATGGATTCTTCCGGTAATAACTGCTAGGGTCACCCCACACGCACCGTCTTCTCAATGTTGGGAAGTGATGCGGAAACCAAGTCTGTACCCAGGGCCAAAGCGAACCATAAAATGCGCCCTTCTTCCTTGAGTGTTTTGTGAAGTGGAATGGAAAGAGCTTTCCCTTCCCTTGAGCTCCTGGGCCTAGAGCAGAGCTCGTAGTGTTAGTCTTCGAGACCTAGTGTCTCCTGAGTGGAGGAGGACGGGCACTGAGCACCTGGTTGGCAGACACCTTCCTTGGCCTTTCATCTATCCATCCCCAGGACTGGGAACTGGGGTCAGGGCTGAGGGCTGTAAACCCTGAGAGGCGCCCAGGCCAGGGCATCCCCTTCTGTTTCTAGCTACGAATGAGAAACACCGCACATTCGAGGATTCTGACTGCGTGTGATGTACGAGAAGAGGACGAGAGTGCCGGCGTGTCTGGGAGGCGGGAAGGACGCCCTGCCCTGGAGGGAGGCTGGCAGCTGAGGCCACGGTGAAAGCGGGGGATCTGTAGCTGCTCCTCTGTGTTTCACCTGGAGCTTCAAAACTTGTTTTGCTGCTGGGCCTTTCCTGAAGGCCTTATTTTGAACTTTACTTGGACAGTCTTTAATCTGTGATAACATTTTCTTTCCAGCTTATTTATTTGAAAATCACGGGGCTGTTGTTTCCGACCTCAGACTTCTGGCACCCGGTAGTGACCCCTGCTCTGGTGTGCATGAGCCAGCTGCTCACAAAGGTGCGTCCTCCACACACGCGTGGCCCAGCAGCTGCTTCCCCAGAAGCTGGCAGACCCACATCTCCTTGGACTGGCTGTTGAGAGGTCATGGAGACTGACCACTGAGGTCAGGCTTAAGAACGCTTATCTAGGCCCGGTATGGTGGCACACACCTATAATCCCAGCACCTGGGAAGGCTGAGGGCAGAGGGTTGCTAGAACCCAGGAGTGCGAGAACAACCTGGACAACATGGCGAGACCTGTCTCCACAATAAATTTTTAAAAATGAGCCAGGTGTGGTAGCACATGCCTGTAGTCCCAGCTATGTGGAAGACTGAGGCAGAAGGATCACCGGGGCCCAGCAGGTCGAGGCTGCAGTAGTCATGGTCATGCCACTGCACTCTAGCCTAGACGAGAGGGAGACTCTGACTCAAGAAAAAGAAAGAGCCCTTATCTAGAAGAGCTCCCAGCTCAAGCAGCCCCACATTGGGGGGACCGAGGTTGTGGGGGCAGCTGTTGGTTTGGCAACTCAAGGTTTTAGATCCCAGAAGACGACCTTTCAAGTTAGTGGTGAAAGCTTTTTCCCCTCTTTTGGCTCAAAAAAGTTCAAATTGTTCCATTTTATTAGGCATGTGCCTGCTTTTTTTTTTTTCAGAGTCTCACTCTGTTGCCCAGACTGCAGTGCAGTGACATGGTCACGGCCGTTGAAGCCTCGACCTGCTGTGCTCAGGTGATCCTTCCACCTCAGCCTTCCAAGTGTGACTAGAACTACAGGCACACGTCACCACTCCCAGCTAATTTTTTGATTTATTATAGAGATGAAGTCTCACCAAGTTGCCCAGGCTGATCTCGTACCCGTGGGCTCAGGCAGTCGTCCTCTCACCTCGGCCTCCCAAAGCACTGGGATTATAAGCCTGAGCCACCAAGCCTGATGAATTTTTATTATTATTTTATTGGGATGGGGTCCCAATCAATAAACAGCCTGTTGCCCAGACTGTTCTCAAACTTCTGGGCTCAAGCAGTCCTCCTGCCTCAGCTTGATGTGTGCTTATTGTGGCAATCATACCTTCCTTGTGAGTTGAACGGTGGGAACCCATACTATAGTTTATTGATCATAAAATCAGTAAAACTGCTTATCTTGTCTTCATCTCACTTGATCCTCTCAACAGTGCGGTAAGGTACGAAGATACCCTCTGAAAAGCTTAGTGGGGTGCACAGTTCATCTGTGGAGCCTGGTATCTACCTAGCATGTTATTTCAGAACCACGTCCTAGAGCAGTAACCATCCCCTGTGTTCCTTTCCAGTGTCCCATCCTGTCCCTCCAGGATGTGGTGAAGGGCCTGTTTGTGTGTTGCCTTTTCCTGGACTATGTGTCTTTGTCTCAGAGGTTTATACCTGAGCTTATTAATTTTCTTCTTGGGATTCTTTACATCGCAACTCCAAACAAACAAAGCCAAGGTGAGTTGATTTGAGGAAGCTTTTTTCAAATATTTTATACTTCATAAGTTTTTTATGTAGTTTATATTCATTATCGAAAGTTTCGAATATAGGAAAGTAGAGAAAACACAAAACCCCTGATGTCCTACCATCCAGAGTAACAGCCTATTTCTCTCTGCGTGAATGTGTGTGCACGCCCACAGTTGAAAAGGCAGCGCCATCATATCCCTGTGCTGTCCAGTGCGGTCAGTAACCATATGTGGCGAGACGGGACTTGTGTGTGAAATATGACCAAATAGCCAAGACTTAGTGCCAGAAATATGTATAAAATATCATAGTGTTTTTTACATTGTGTATTGAAATCATAGCATATATTGTTAAAATGAGTCTTGACACACAATGAGATGGTAAGTCGCTGATGTTGCTCCCGTGGTACACCTGGACAGCACTGCTGCGTAGTTTCTGCAGTGCTCACAGTGCAGGGAGGAGAGCGTCCGAAGCAGTGTTCTGACAAGTTTTCGCGTGTGTCGGTCTCTGACTGGTATCCTTATAGCACCCCCACTCCTCCAAGCAGCTTCCCCAATGCCTCCTTCTGGATGCTTCCTCAGTGCTCGCTGCGCCCCTCTTGGCCTGGCTGAGGAGCTGCATGGTCTCCTTCCTGAGCCCTCCTCTGTGGATGCCTTTCTCAGTCTGATCGACGGTCAGACCTTAAGGCTAAGACCCCCAGACCCGTTTCCAGCTCACTGTGCTGAGCTTCTCCGTGCCCAGGAGACTGACGTAAGAAGATGCTACAGTGTCATGTCACACTGTTAGTAGTGTCCCTTGGAAGAGGTGCCAGCAGTTCCTCCACTTCAGTACTCCAGTTCTGCTGTCTCCTAGCTTTTCTCCTCCTGCCTCGACTCTCCTGTGTGTGAACCCTTGCTCCCTGATGGCCCTGATTCCCCAGATACCACCTACTCCTGGCAGGCTCATTGTTGGGTAGCAGAGGGGCATGCTCATCCATTGCCTCCCCTGCAGACCATTCTCTCTGCCTCGTTGGCTCTTCTGGATGACCAGGTTAGCTCATACACATCCTCTGGGTCTTTGGTGATATTCACCCCCTGAGAAGGACCTCTGATTCTGTGGCAAACCCTGCACTCCCAACTGACCCTTTTCTGCTTGTTTTCTGTCCATCCATTCATATTCTGTGCAGTCGACTTTTTCTGTGGCTGCTGTGCCCTGCCCGCACTCCACGAGGGCAGAGACTTAGTCTGTTTTTGGATGTGGCCTAAGCACCACATGTAAGTCCCCAGGAAGTCTGTTGCAAGCAGGTCTCTTGGATGGGGTCAGGCACTTGGCTCTGACCTTCCCTGCCAAAGTTTTCACCCGCCTTACTGGACGTGGCTGTGCCCACATTGGAACCCTCAGTGTCTGGCATGACCAGGAAATGTAAAAAATCAGTGCATATCTTAAGTGAACTTTCTGCAGGCTTGGTGCTGCAGAGCCTGCCCGGTGAGCCCAGTAACATTCAGGCCATCTCTGTCCTATCGCACTTGGAATTCAGGTTACACTCTGGTGCACCCTTTCAGAGCACTTGGGAAGAACTCCGAATTGCTCGTGGTTTCTGATAAAGAGGATGTGGCCACGTGGCCGAGGAGCAGCCTCTCCCTCCGCTGGGCAGGTGGACTGAGGACACCGACTATGACAGAGGCCAACCACATCAGGTATGTGAAGGGGCTGAGGCCGTGACCTGAGCAGGTGCCAGCCCAGTGTACCAAGGTATATTTGCCTGATTCCACAAACAATAATTTGAAAACGAAAACAGAACCTCCCCTTCCAATTTGTTCCTGGGTTTCTAACACCTTCCTTCCTGTTCAGGGAAATGTATTGACTTGCTTTTGTAAGGCCTAAAATGAGTCTGCTCTGCCTGTGGGCGTAGACGTTGAACCCTGACCTGCTGATACGGCCACACTTGATTTTGTAGTCGGGGAGGGGGTTGTCATTTTTGCCAGGGTTACTGGTTTGTTAGTGGCTGAAGTAGAATGAGCTGGGCCCCCTCTTATCTCCTGTTCTTGCAGACTGTTATCTCCTGTTCTTGCAGACTGTCCTGCCTGGCTGTGGGCCTGGCCCTGCTGAAGCACTGCGTGCTGATGTACCGTTCGCTTCCATCCTTCCACGCCATCGCCAGGCCTCTCCAGGCCCTCCTGGTGGAGCACCTGGCAGACTGCAGCCACCCCTGTGAGCTCCAGGTGAGACTTCCTGGCCACCAGGGTGCTCTGCCCTGGCTTGGACGTGTCCCTGAGCTGGGACCAAGCCAGCGGGCACTTCTGTCATTGAGGTTAAAGCTCTGAAGTCGAGGACACCTTTACCAGATCACAGACACAAACGGGAAATCTAATCACATCAGTGGGCGGTGACTGTGAGTCTTGCTGGGCTGGATTCAGGCAGAGTCTGGATCCCGGGAACCCTTGGGTGGTTGTATGCCGCCTCCAGAAAGCTGCACGGAAAGCCCACCAAGGCCCAGCTGGCTCCGGGTGATGCAGGCACCTCAGCTCCGCAGTCACCTGATGGGTTTTCTGAAGATGGTCCCACTGTCCTGCGAATCCTCAGCCAGAGCGGGGAGCTCCTGTGTGTGTGTCTAAGCAATCCTTGATGCCCAGCGCATCCAGCCCCCGGCAGATCCCCCAGGCCTGCCTGAAGCCACTCTGAGTACACCTGCCACCCATCCTGCCTCCCAGTCTTCTCTCACTGGTCCCTGACGGGTCTCTCCACCCCTCAAGTCAGGCCATAGCAGCCAAGATGCTGTTAGAGCAGAGGGCATCAGTGCCACATCTACCGCACCTCCAGTGTCTTGCATCGTTCAGAACTGCGCCCAGGGCCAGGCGATGCTGGCAGCCTTTGCTGGTGCTCGCCCCCTCACGCTCTGTGTCCTCTTTACTGGGCCTTGCTTACACCGCCGACCTTCGCTTTGCTTGGAGTTCTCCTCGGCCGAGCAGCTTGTCCTCACTCCCTCGGGAGGCCGGGCCTTCCTGGGCCACGCTGCTTGGTGCTGCCTGTGCTTCCCCGTGGTGCTGACCATTCCTAGGCACGTGACGCTGTCACTGCCTGCCCCGCTAGAACGTGAGCCCGGTGAGGACGCCTGGGCTGTCCCCTTCTGGTCGTGCCCCAGAGCACAGAGCAAGACCAGCCCGCTGTCCACACTGGGTCACGCAGCCTGTCAAAGACCGATGAAATGAGATCAAGTCGGCCCCTGCCTCCTTCCCTCACGTACTCTTACTGTCGACACAGCATGGCTTGTCCCCCTCATCTGAAAGCAGTGGCTCTCTGGTCTTGCAGAGTGAGCTAGCTGAGGGGCTACAAACGGAGTTTGTGGTCTTGGTGGACTAAGCTGGGCCTGCCCTTTGGTTGAGTTGCTGTGGAGACTCAGTAATTGGCACCAGAAGTTACCTCCAGACAGGGGCCAAGGTGGCTGTGCCCCTGAGTGCAGAATGTCAGGTAGCCTGAGTTCTGGAACACACCTGTGCAAAAGGAAGGTAGGACCAACGTGAGTGAACTGGCTTCTGGAAAACTTCTCAGAAGCCACCCGCTAGCCCTTCTGAAGCATGCCTTCGCCATCTGATTCTTTTGGAGTGGCAATAAGGTTGAACTTTCCAGACTGGTAGAAACCCTGCTCTGCTTGACACTTGGCATGTTGCTGTACACACCAGGCTCTAGGGTGCAGCTGTCACCACAGTGGGAAGGTGGTCCTCCTGTGCACTTCTGTTAAAAGGACATCACTTGTGCCCCATTGTGCCAAGTTTCTCTGGGAAAGAGGGATTCCATTCATGTTTTCTGGATGAGAGCAGCACAGGCTCTTGTGACTTGTAACGACCTGAACTACCTCCTTTTGGATTGGTCACAGTGGCCAGAAGAACATACACTCCCCGCTGCGCACAACCCCTCCTCTGTCTAGAAACTTTGTCACAGCTATGCTGCACCTTGAGCACTTAACCGTGGGGCTAGGGGCACAGTGAGGGGCTATCATTCCGCTGCAGGGTGCCCATAGTGCTCTGTCCTCTGTCAGCTTTGAAGCCATAGGAACCATAGGAGGAGTTTTGGGCATCTTTTTCGTGTTTTCCAGGAGCTGTGTCAAAGCATAGTGACAGAAATGGACAGCCACAAGCAGCTGCTTCAGCCTCTGACCTGTGAGAAGAGCAAGCCTGTCCCGCTGAAATTGTTCACCCCTCAACTGGTTAAAGTGTGGGTGTCACAGCATCTCCCTGGGATGCCAGGCTTAGTGAGAACGGGGGAGGGTCTGCTTATTCTGAAGCTGAGCAGATGACCCGAGGGAGAAGCGACGCTTCCCAGCAGGCTCTAGCTGAGAGGGGTGGGGACAGGCCCAGCTCTTCCTCCTTGACATTGACGTTTCTCTTGCAGCCTCGAGTTTGGAAGAAAACAAGGCAGCAGTAAGGAGGAGCAGGAAAGGAAGAGGTTGATCCACAAACACAAGCGTGAATTTAAAGGCGCTGTCCGAGAAATCCGCAAGGACAATCAGTTCCTGGCTAGAATGCAGCTCTCGGAGATCATGGAACGGTAAGGCGGACATGTGCTGGCTCGGCTGGGGCGGACCCGGCATTCATGCTGTGTGGCCCTGGCATCCCACAGCCATGGCAGTGGCCAAGGGCTGGGGTTGGGCAGTTGTTTCCCCCCGTTTTCCCTCTGTTTGGACTGGACGTGGTAGCTGCAGGCTCATGTGGTTCTGATGTGGAAAAGGGCAAGATGTCCTCCAAAAACTAATCCAGGGTGGGCGTTTGCCTTTTTGTTTTTTTATTTCCAGGGATGCAGAAAGAAAGCGAAAAGTGAAGCAGCTTTTTAACAGCCTGGCTACCCAGGAAGGTGAATGGAAGGCTCTGAAGAGGAAAAAGTTCAAGAAGTAAATCAGGCTGGGAAATAGTGCACAAAGTAATAAAGAACTCCGATGCCAGTGTGGGGTTTTCTTTCCTGTGCTTTAGTTCCTCTGAACACACCTGACGGCATAGAATGCATGCTGGAATACACTTCTGGCATCAGGAAGGGTCCCGCGTGAGGGTGAGCTCCGCGTGAGGGTGAGCTCCGCGTGAGGAAACTGACTGGTCCGTCCTGTCCAGCCTAGCCTCGCTGCATCCGTCAGGCCTGGGGCTGCGGGCGTGCCGGCCAATGTGCTTTGTCAGCCAGGGTCGTTTGTCTTCACGTACAGGCTCTAGAACGCTATTAGTGTGGTGTGTGAATTATATTTTTTCTTTTTTTTGATTCGGGAGTCTCACTCTGTTGCCCAGGCTGGGAGTGCAGTGGCATGCTCACAGCCACCACAGTCTCCACCTGCTGGGTCCAGGTGATTCTTCCACCTCAGCCTTCCAAGTAGCTGGAGCCATAGGCACACACCACCATGCCCGGCTCTTTTTAAAAATTTATTGTAGAGACAAGGTCTCGCCAAGTTACCCAGGCTCAGTAAGTTCTCTTGCCTCTGTCTCCCAAAGTGCTGGGATTACAGGTGTGAGCCACTGCACCTGGCAATTATTATTATTATTATTTTTTTTTTTATTCATTTATTTATTTTTTTGAGTTGGAGTCTCACGCTGTTGCCCAGACCGGAGTGCAGTGGCCGCTCCCGGCCACCGCAGCCTCGACCTGCTGGGCTCCGGCGATCCTTCCGCTTCAGCCTTCCGAGTAGCTGGAACTACAGGCGCGCGCTCGGCTAATTGTTTGATTTATTGTACAGATGAGGTCTTGCCAAGTTGCTCAGGCAGGTCTCGAACCCGCGGGCTCAGGCAATCCACTCACCTCAGCCTCCCAAAGGCGTGGGATTGCAGGCTGAGCCACCGAGCCCGGCTTGTTTTAGTTGTTTTTTGTTTTTTGGTTTTTTTGAGTTGGAGTCTCAGTGTCGCCCAGACTGGAGTGCAGTGGCCGCTCCCGGCCACCGCAGCCTCGACCTGCTGAGCTCTGGCGATCCTTCCGCCTCAGCCTTCCAAGTAGCCAGAACGACAGGTGCTCACTATCATGCCCAGCTAATTTTTTATTTATTGTAGAGATGAGGTCTTGCCAAGTTGCCCGCGCTGAGATGAGAGGATTGCCTGAGTCCAGGGGTACAAGACCAGCCTGGGCAACTTGATGAGACCTCGTCTCTACAATAAATAAAAAGGTGAGCCACGTGTGGTGGTGCGTGCCTGTGGTTCTGGCTTCTTGGAAGACTGAGGCAGAGGGATTACCTGAGCCCAGCAAGTCGAGGCTGTGGCGGCCGTGAGTGTGCCACTGCACTCCAGCGTGGGTGACAGAGGGAGACTCCGACTCAAAAAAACAGTTTGCAAATAGCTTAGAAATCAGAGAAGAAAAAAAATGCATAGTCCTTCCCACCCTAATAATCGTAATCGGCCTTGCCCTGATTCTGTCTTTCAGTTGGTACTCGGGGTGCTGGTGTTGGGTGCGCTGTGGGAGGAGGGAGGAGATGGTGCTGCCTCTGCTCTGAGTTTCGAGTCAGAAGAAAAGGATGCAGACGTTGTGGGTAAACCTGTACGCCTGCACATCAGACAGCGGTGTTTTCACCCTGCACGGACCAAGAGGGAGGTCAGGCCGCGGGTGTGCTGGACCGGGAAGGAGCTGTGAGGAGAGAAGGCTCCCTGGAATTTCACCGGCTGGTCAGGGAGCCACGCCCTGGATGTTGCTGCTGCCGCCTCCTTGCGCCGGGTGCTGCCGTGGAGGTTCCCGCTCCCACACGCCACCCTGGTCTTGGAGGCTGAGTCCAGGGGTGGCTACAGAGCCCCAGCCAGGCTACACGCTGGCGCGCGCGGCGCACGTGCTGAGTCAACCTGCGGCCCGGGGAGGAAGCCCCGCAAGTGCCCAGGCAGCCTAGGGCGCGCACGGGAAAGCCCCGCCTGGGGTCACACGGCCAACCACAGCAGTAACCGTGGGGATACGTGAGGATCAGCCAGGCTGGGCCTGAGGGAGGCGAAGGTGACAAGGAGCCGTTTCTGGCTGCTGATGGGGCGCGGGGTCTTCCGCCGAAGTGGCAGTTGCGGGGAAAGTTTTACTTCGGGACACGGGCGGCGTTAGAGCGCCATGGGGCTGGAGTGCTGCACGAGCGGCCCCAGGTGTGCAAAGTCGTGGCCACTGGTGGACTGAGCTCCCCTGGTGGAGGGCGGGCTGAAGCCAGCGGGTTGAACCCAGCATCTCCCAGGATGGCGCAGAGAGACTTACCGGAAGGGTTAGGGTTGACACATCCACAAACCAGGCTGGCAGCCACCTCGCTGCACGGGATACTGTTAACCTAACATGGTCAAGGTTGCGTGCACCTACGGTTGTCGACACTTGGACTCACCAAGCCCCTCTGGACACTGGCCAAACTCGGGGAAGAGAACCGGACACGATGAAAGGCGTCAAGCCAGGTGCTGGGCTCTTGGCGGGTCTTGCTAGTCCGTCCGTAAGGGGAAAGGTGCCGGCAGCAAAGTCCTAAGGCCCGGCTGTGAGTCGTATGTCCTTGATGAGGGAGCATGACCCAGCTAGAAGAGGAAGAACACCATCCGAGTGTGGGCGAAGGGACACGTGTTTTGGGGACAGCTAATAACCCGACTGTCTTCTTGACTGTAGGTGGAGTAACTGCGTCATTAGGCAGAAAAGGCACTTTGCTGCTACCTGCATTTGAAGTTCTGCATGGCTTAAGGGGGGTGAATGAGTGCCACTTGTTTTCCTTTTCTCGTATGTTTCTGGGTAGGGCTGGCCACAAAAGAGTTTGGATTCACAAGGGGAAAGAGAAGAGGGAGGTGGCTGCAGTCCAGGCGCTGGTGCAGTCTGTGGTTTGCTGGACGCCCTGGAATGGGTGGCACCAGGCCCAGGGCTCCTCCAGCCACAGTGGGGTTGCTTCCTCCAGCCCTGGCTGGGCTAGGTAGGTGCGAAGGTGCCAGCTGCTCTTTTGGGTGCTGCAGGCCACGTAGGCGGCAGGCCCGTGCCCCGGAGAAGCCAGAGGTGACTGGGTCTTTTGGCTGTCGGTCGTCTCGGCCCACCTAATTCAATCCGGGGACTTCAGGCTCAGCTAGAGTCACCGGGTTAAACCCGCGGGCCCATCCATGGCTGTGCGGTCCCCTCCGGTCCGGGGATGCCGCTGTATTTGGGGTGATGGCTCGTGGGGGGGTCCCAGGCTGGCAGGAGGCGGCCCTCCAGGGTGGACCTGTGGTCCTTATGCGGAAGTCGCCCCCGCAGGGCACAGAGGCCTGGGGCCCAAGAAGCAGTGCCTGTCGCCGGCATGAGGCCCCGCATCCACCCCCGCCAGGCCCAGGGCTCAGCTCGGCGGTGGCCGGCGACAGGCCACCCGTGGGCCTTGCGCGGGGGCCCGTCTCTGGGCCTCGGGGCGGGCGGAATCCTGAGGCCTCCCGGACTCCGAAGGCGCAGGGGACCCCGCCTTCCTGCCGGGCAGGGGCTGCAGGCCAGGGCCTCCCGCCTCCGGATGCTCCGCGACGGCCGGGACGGGGCACCGCGAAGGGGCGGGGGCGGGGCCGGAGCAGACGCGCCCGAAAGAGGAAG